TTCTACGCAATCACAAAGTCGACGTTTGTGAGAAAACCACGATTCCGTACGAACCGGACAAGCGTAGCTTTTTGTTAACATTGAACGGTGGTGTGAATTTAAAGATATCTAAGGTGCAAAGTTAATGCAAATGATTGTTCCATCCTTTTATGGTAATTGTAATCGTAAATATTTTAAATTTAAATATTAAGTAAAATATTTAAATATTTAAATAATAAGTAAAATTTAATTGTTTTGTATGGATTCTTGCAATATATAAAGATATATTCATAAGGGTGTAAATATATTTAGGTGTTATGTATCTATGTTTTCAAAAACGTCAATATTTTAAACATATATCTATGTATCAATATATACTTGAAATGTGAGAATTATAGTAAAAAGATAGTAAAACTGGTTTTTCTTTTCCGTCATATGCTGAAATTTCGTGAATTACTGCCGGACATTTACGCAAAGCTGCAAATTAAATAGCCGGTAAGTGTTAATACCAGAATGACCAAAATGGCCAAAATAGCCAATTCGCAATTTTTTCTAAAAATTTTATATGTTTCGCGTTTTAAAGAATTTTAATTTTATTTTCCTTATTTAATTTTATTTAATTTTATGAATTTACAATACATGCAAACTTGCGTTCTTTTTATTATACTTCAATCTTTTTCCTAATCACTGCCAATTATTATTTGTCTCCTAATCGCTACGTCTTTAATCCAAGTTTCATGCATTAAAATAAAATGAATGTCACAGGCGAGAACAATTTCAAATAACACGAACAACTAGGTGACATTAATGAATGAAAAACTCATTTTAAGAATTGTATTTCGCTGATGTAAATAAGAATTTATTTCTCTTTTTTCCTATTCTTTGCATTTTAATTTCTTCGATACACGTTTCATACTTTAGTTGTCAATAACTATAGTATTCTGTCTCATATGGGCAAAAATTCTGAATTTCGAGTATATTAGTAATCTTTGTTACAAAAGATAATGTTCGATAACACATTTTTACGACTGAATTCAGGATCGTGTTTACAATAATTGTTCTGCGTCATGCTCCGCAAGTCACACGTGATCTTCTACGTGTGTACCATAGTATTCGACTGAATATCATCCTACGTCTGAATTCACATCAATAAATAAATAAATTTAATTCGTAAGTGGACCAAAGGTGAAGCCGCGTAATCTACAATATACTTTAATAAAATAAAATTAATTACCTGTAAAACATTTTACATCATCAAATTGAATTATCTTCCAATAATCGATACATTATACTCACTAGAACTATTAGTTTAATTTCAATCTAACGAATAAAGTGGATTTTTAATTTTAGTTTAATAATTGAAATTTGTGCTTAATTTATCCCGAGCTGATATGCAGAAAAAAATGAGACAGTATTAACGCGCGATATAATTATTAGTTTAATTTTATATTTATTAGTTTAATTTTTAACTATTAGAATAATTTTCAAGTAGAATATAGTTATTCAGAGTCCATTAACTACGTCGTTAATGAACAAATTGGCTCAGATATTATAATAAAGTCATAGAAAAAAATCATAGAAATAGTGCATCACGTATCAGATAAATAAAATAAAGATCAGATTAAAAAAAGAATAAATTTCAAGTAAAATAAACTATTCAGACTCTATTAACGTAAGCGAATAACAATTACTGTCGTTAATAACGTTGATATATCGTAATATACGATTGGATAAATTTTCCAAAACGCAACATCATTCTCAGTCAAGTGTCAGTAAACATAATATATTTATTAGAACAATGTTTGATTACGTTTTGTCATCGTTTCGAGAATTCTATGTTTTTTTGCTTTGTAATCTTCTGAGTTATCTGACGCGTACATCAAATATAATTTGCACGCAATCACGAGAATTT